AAATATTTTTCAATAAATTTGAATTACTTTTATTAATTATATATGATTTCGAAAATATCAAATATACAGTTAGCTAAATTATGTACTACCCGTGCATCGCACGGGCTTGAAAGCTAGTAATACTATAATAGTATAATAGATTACTAGTATAGTATAATAATAGGCACCGTGTAATATGTTGATGATTTTTTTTATAATAGAAGATTACTTTTTTCAATTTTTACATGCACATTTCATAATGAAATAATTATTATATGCTTTCTGATATTTTAATGGTGCTCATTTTATGATTTTGTATTAATGTACATTTATTTAAAACATTGTACATATTTAGTACTCCCTCCGTCCCAGGGAGAAGTTTCCGGGTTGACTTTCACACATATTAAGGAAATAAAGTTATTGAGGGGTAAATTTTACTGTTTGGCACTGTTTCGACACTGTTTGGCACTGTTTTGCATTGTTTGGCACTGTTTTGATGTAGGATAACTTTCCATTTATGGAAATGGGAACTTTTTGTTGGGACTACCGAAAAAGGAAAGTGAGAACTTATCCCTGGGACGGAGGGAGTATAATATAAAAAATTCCAATGATTCACGCATCTAATATATTCATTACAAACCATTGAAACCAACCTAATAGAGTAAGTTTTGTTATTCTAAAAAACGTTTTGTTTACTCAGTTATTAATTATTAATATCTTATCAATGAAAAGCGTAAAAATTTTAGTAGGAAAGAAATTTATTACTCCCTCTGCCCCTAAAAGAAGTTCTATTTCGCTTATCGAGGGTCAATTTAAATCACTCTTAAACTCTTACTTTTTATATCAAAATTTTATAAAAGTTGAATTATTTTTTACAGGCTTTGTAGCGGGTTTAATGTAATTTCTGAATATGTAAATTTTATTTACTAAAAATAATCCGAGTTTTCACAGGGATTATTTAACTTTATCGTCGGTCAACCTTCGTAATCCGCAATTGGAACAACATTTAGGGACAGAGGGAGTATTTCTTATTTACATATAGGGGGGTCCAGGAGACCAGGAAGCGGTTGTGGTGCTGGACCGGTCTTTTTTTTTTTCTTTTTTTTTTTCTTTTTTAGCTTGAAATCGGGTAAAAAATTAATGATTCTGGTCCTAGAATATTTTCCGACCTAGAAAAAAATAATACCAGGATGATCCTGAGCTTTATAAAAAATACGCCATAACAAGGTAGTCTTGGCCTGGAATCGGGACCCAGGTTAACCTCTTTTTACATATATTAACTCAATCAGAAAAGTAACTTCAGTCTCGCTTATTTTTTTCCCAACCTATTGATTTTGTTAGTTAATTTTTCTACTTAACACGTAATTTTTTTTATATCATGTGTTGCATTACGTAATATTAAAAATAAGCGAGATTGAAGTTACTTTTCTAGTTGAATTGATTGAAATTACTCTAGATTGTCATTTTAGCTATTTTCATACGGAGTCTATAATTTTTCTTAATTTTATTAATAAAATATATTTCAAATATAATATTTCCCAATGGCACAAGATCAACCAGTCCACCAACTTCACTTAAAACTTCATCAATTTAAGCAGATTCAACTGATTCGAACAATTTCAGTGTTATCAAATGAGCTCTTAGTATAATATAAATATATAATACATTAATGCATAACTCATATCCATATAATTTACACACAATAAAATTATTATTTCCTCTATCTTTATCCCTATCTTTATCCTATTTTACTTTTTAATTCGTTCCACTAAGTTTCTCTCACACCATATTTGATAAAATTTTGGTGATTACAATTCATTTTTATTTTATTTACACTTTGGCTTTATCAATTTAATACCAAATTAATTAAACATACAATTTCACTTTTCTTCATCACTCCATTTTATCTCAATATTAGAGGGATGGAGACTACTTCTTTTAGCTATGAGAAAGATAATACTTGGTAAAAATTAATTTATATTTCTTTCTATTAAATGTATTAACTTTATAGTGTTTCTTTTATAATATTATACCATTGTACATTTATAATTAGCATAATATTTATTTTAGTATTACATAAAGTTCATTCAAATATTACACACCTAATAGATTTTTTATAATCAAGACTACTAGCATTAGCTATATATGGCAATTCATTTGTTTTAGAAAAATCTTTTATAAAGCATACTACAATTGTTGTACAAGTTTGTATATACAATATGTGCATTTGTTTGATAGACATAAGTCCATACTTTCTAGTTTTTATACTAACTAAAAAGTTCGTAAAAGTTTGTAGTTGTATACTTAAAATGAAATTTTTAAAAAGTTTTTTTAAATAAAATAGATTTTTGACATTCTAAAAGAAGTAGAATATGAGAAAAGTCTTAAATTTTAACCTTCAATAATCCCAACATCTTGTATATCAATCTGAACCAGATCAAACAGTCAGCTTTTTATCAAACAGCTATCACCTTTTCATCTTCGGATCTTTTAGTCACGAAAAGCTAACAGTTACTTTTTTTTTTAAAAAAAACTAGCAGTTACTAAAAAGCTAATTAAAAGTATCTTTTCAGTTAGTTGTGCCAAACATACCTTATGTTTGTCAACTACAAAAGCTCGATCAATCTAGGTCTCAATCAAGAGAATTTCCTTGGGTGTAGTTTTAGTGTTTTCTTTTTTTGTATCGTTTTATTTTCTTTCTTTTATTTTCTTTTTTTCTTTCTCAGTATTTCAATAAAATTCTCTTTTTCTTAAAAAAAAGCTCGATCAATCTACACACAATTACATTGTGAAACTAATGAACTTCATTTTGAAGAGAAAAATAGTAATGCAAAAAAAATTGAATAAAAAAACTTTAATTACAAATTCAAACTCTAATATATAGCTAATTCTTAAACATTCAACCAAAAGAAATGAAACAAGAAACTACAACTATTAAAAAATGTACGGTAGGTGTTGAAAAAAGTTAGTTAAATTAAATCCATTTAAACATTTTATTCAACCGGAGTCTGCACCTATGCAATTAAAAGTATTATTTAAATCTAAATTAAAAATAATAAAGTGATGTGGTCCAATCAAATGAATAGTAAGTACGGTACCTCATTTTTTAAAAAGGCACCGGAGTTGTCACCCCATGTAAATTAGGGCTGAGTTCGGTTTGATTCTTACTCAAAATGAGTGGAACCGTTATAAAAATTCTAACTAATAATGAAATCGGTTCGGTTCCTGTATTAAAAATCAAGAACCGTTATGGAACCGAACCATTACTAAACGGTTCGGTTCCTTCATTTTACCGGTTCCTAAAATAATTTTTTCTCATCTAAGAATTAAGTCAATTAACACATAATTTACTTTCTACATCATAAACCCGTTGAAAATTCAAAACACGAGCATTAAAATTTTATTTTAACTCAAACATCCAAACTCAAACTTAACTACTGAACTCTGAACAATTAATAGAACAAATGATGATTTAATTTTTCATGTAATAAATAAAACATAAAAGTCATCATCATAGTAGCAAGTAAAGGACGTCTACTTTAAGTCTTTCAGAACATAAAAATACATTGAGTATTTGAGTTCACATGTATGGATACAAAAACACTATTACATTCTACTTGCTAGTACCATGATTTATAATAAATCTAATAATTAGAAATATTATGAAAATAGTAAAGTAAAATATGTGCAATAAACTACAAGTTATTTGAGTTATTTTATATTTATAAAATTTATGTGATGAAACAAAACTTGATTTGTATAAATGAGCGCAATGTATTATATCAACTCATGTGCAATATTTATTACTTATGTTTTCGTGGATTAAATTAGAATTGTTAGTTTTTTGAAGGAAAATTAAAATTGTTAGTTGAATATGTATTGTATTATCATTCTTGTGGTGGTTATGATTGTTATTACATTATTATCACTACTACTAGTAATACTATTTTTTTTAATAACGGTTCCTTAACGGTTTCATGCACATATTTTTTATAGGAATCAGGAACCAATCGTTAACAACATCTATGAACCGAACCGTTAACAACTAATACCTCATTTGTAGGAACCGAACCGGGTTATAACGGTTCGGTTCCAATCGGTTCTACAGTTCCCGGTTTCAAAATCTCACCCCTAAGGTAAATATCAAGCACTAAACATTCCTCAAGAAAGAGATGTAAATTCACTTTGAAAGAAAAGCTGGTAACTGTATTAGCAAGAGGGGATAGGGAAATGTCTTTATCAAACTATAATTGGTAAAAGTAAGTTTTTGATAAAATTTAAGAAGACCTTAAAGATAAAAAAGAGGGGAAGAAGAAAGATAAAAAATAAAATAAAATATCCTAGATAGGTATAAAAGTATTCATGAATTTTAAAATATGCCTACTTTATTTTTATTGATCTCTAAATAGAAATAATTATTATCATGTTTTGACAATATATACTAAACTTTGAACATTACAGTATTTTTTAAACTTAACAGTAATTACTCTTATTTATAGAGAATAAAAATATACTACTTATATTTTAAAATTTTAAAATATTTTTACTCCTTGGAAAAATTATCCAAATAAAATATAGTTATCTCGCTTAATGTTTCGAAGAATTATAATGTTGTCATGCCGTATATAGCCGGTTGGTGTGTAAAACTTTTTCCTCACGAGTGTAGTACAAATAACAAATCTACAATCGTCTATACAATGACGTGTTTGGTAAACAGCGTTTAGCCGAAAAATGATGGTTTGATAACTTTTAACGTTTTCTATGAATGAAAAAATTGTTTGGTATAAGCTGTTCGCCACTAGCGTTTTTGGACGGGTTCCAAAAACATTGCTAATATGAGAGTTTTGGGTAGACATTTCAAAAAATGACGTTTTCTATTAATTTTATGGTCAAACAGCTAAATTACCAAACATTTTCTAACAACCACCAATTTATTTCACTAGTGAAACCCCGTTGACCGAATCCACTATTGAAAATTGTTAACATAATTCCATATCCGCTAAATGTTAAACATGCCAATATAATTTGCGTACATTGCAGGACAATTAATATGAAAGAGAGTCAAACGTTATAGTGTATATCGTTTTAACTTTTACACTTTTAATTAAAATGTACATGAAGTATTGTTTTGTATTCTAGGACTTTTCCGTTGCAGCAACTATTTATTCATTCCACCATCTTATTTTTAAAGAAAAGAACAAACTTTATCCTACACAAATTAAAACACTAACACATTCTCTCTTAACTAGACAAGTATCAATTCAAACAACTAATTAGGCCAAACTTTTCTGAACACAACCAAGCTTGTTTTGACGAATCAACTTCTAATAACAAGCTCTGGGGTCCAAAGATATAAGATCTATGTAAATACCAAGTGCAAATCACACTTCCTCTGGAATTCTGATCTTGGCAACCTTTAGCGTGCTTCGAGTAACGGGTTCATTTCATTTCCCTTTATGTGATACCAATTGAATCTTTGAGCTCCTATTCGCCTAGCTAGAAGCTTATTGGCTTATTCCATTGCGCCATTTGAAGCTTTTACGAGCTTCTCATTTCGGAGCGCCAAATGTTCACGCGCTCCTCTTGCAAGAAAACTCCCAAAAAGAGGTAGTAGCAAAAGGTTATATGTGTGTGATGATTCCATGCACATTACACTTGATAATAATAATACAACAATTACTGAAAAGAAGAAGAGTTGGGATTAATGACAATGTGCTTGAGGGGATGAGCAACATCATTCCCTCCTGCGTGCTTCACAAACTCGGCAGGCGAGAGGAAACTCCCATGGCAAACACACATTATTCTCACTTCCTCACCTTTACCGTATTTGTATAGTATTCCATCTATCCTTTTCCCGTTTGGGCCATCTCCTTTAGTGAAAACACCCGGCATCTCCTCCACGGGTGCCATCCCGACCTTTTTCGCCTGCAGTCCTGTGGTTTCTCGTTGCTTGTTAGACGATGTTTCAGTTTCGGCTTCTGGCATCTTTCTTGCAAGATCACTTGTCTTTGTTGTAGAAGAACCGGCTTCTTGGCTTCTTCCTTCTGGCAAGGATCGAATGCTCCCAGGGCTCAACTCACAGGATCCTAAACCAGAAAAATGATTTTTAAACTGTCATGGAAATGTTTTCGAGGGGTAAGTTATGTTGTTTGATGTCTACTACAAACATAGCATTTAACCAAGCATAGCGTTAGGCTAAACCTATATAACATACCATCCAAACACACAGTAAGTTTATCTTTTTTGAACAATATGGTTCCTTCTAGAGGATTTGACTTTGCACCATACTTTTTTTTTATGATATGATATTGAACTTTGCACCTCATTTTGAAAAACTTTGAAAAACTTTGACTTTGCAGTTTGTATCCCATCACATAACATTTTTTTAAGAAAAATTTCTGGATGGGGTGCAAAGTCAAAGGATTTTTAAGTGAAATGGGGTGCAAAGTCCAATATTACCCAAAAAATTGGGTGCAAAGTGCAATATTAGCCAAAAAATTGGATGCAAAGTCAAATTCCGCCTTCCTTGTACTTCCTTCGTCCCTTTAAGAACTTTCTATATTTTTTTTCAGAACATCCATAAATAAGGTTTTCCATTTTTTTTTGGTAAAATATGATTTTCATTTTTCATTCGGTAAAGAACTTCTAATTAATTTACTCCGTTACTCTCGAGTAATAATGTGAAGGGGGAGACTTGACGCACCAATTAAGGTGTTTCTGTGTGATCGAGAGGTAGTAAGGCTAAATGATATTGAGATATTCTGCCTTATGCTGCAGAACACTCTTTCCCAATTGCCAAAAAGCATTTATTCCAACTAAAGAACAGTGTGAAAAGATATACTCGTATTCCATAAGTCAACTAGTGTGTGCATCCAATATTCCCATACACCATCCACTAAGATAAAATGTATACAAAGGAGCAAACAAGAGACAACCATACAATCATGAAAACCTCTCACACCAGTGAAGAGACACATTAGTAGTTATGGTCGCAGGGGGTTGACAAGGTGTTCTAGGCTGATAGCCATTTGTTTTCCATTGCACTAATCATTGGAGTGCATTCTTCTCGTTTTTTTCCTCATCTTCATCCGTCTCACTATATTTTGTCAACTATGCTTTTTTATTTGTCAAAAAAAAGTTGACACATTCTCCACTACACAAATATTATTCACACAATTTTTACTTTTCAAGTTTCACACTCAGCTCAAAGTTTACAATGTCCGATTGAAAAGAAATAATATAGTTTTAATCATAGATCTATGGGGATTTATCACCTAAAACTAAAAGAGTATCAATTTTTTGAAGTACTCCGTAATAAATAATAAAAGTTTAAAACATAGGGATTGTACTAGTACTCCATCACATTATGTCACCCCAAGTAAAAGGAGCGAGGTAAAAACTTAAGAAAAAAGCTTTAAAATTAAGTGATTCTCATCAAAATGTCACGTGACAGAGTAATACGTAGTAAAAACAACACAAAGTGATAACCAAGTCAAAAGTAGCATGTTGAGGCTTGAGATGGAAATGTAACAAGTTACCCTTTTTGGGTTGAAATAGTTTCCACAACTATAGAGTATAGATTCATGAAATTATCACAAGAGTAAAAATGAACTAAGCACTCATTATTTACTGTGGTAAACTGAAGCGGTAAATAAATTACTCCATAGAACCATATTATTGGAAGCAATAAAGTTACCTTGAAGAACTTTACTTTCAAATTCTGATATACTTGAAGAGCTACCCCCTTGAGACTCAAGTGACCCTCTAGATGAAGGGTAGCATTTTTTCCCCTTCATCATTCCCACTTCAATCCCACGTCCATAATAACTCTTTGCCGCCGCTTGGTACTGCTCCTCCCTCTTAGAACCGACGGCGCCGGCGCCGGCGTCTTTATCTCCCCTTGAACACCTCTGCTTCTCGGATCTCCTTTTCTTAGCTTCCATTCTTCTCATACTCTGTAGATCCTTCCTCTTTTTCCACTCTTCCTCCGTCTCAACCGGCAGGGAAGAAGTTCTGACCAAACTGGAAATCGCCACCGGAGACGGCGGCGCAGCCACCGCATCATCCTCTCTCACAATATGCAAACATGAAGCTACGGAAGCAGATCTCACTAGCTTTTTTGAATCCCTGTCCACCCCAAATCTCCCACCCATAGACAACCCAAGATTCAATTCCATCTCTCCGTCGTTCTCAGCTCCCTTCTCGGGACCGCCGCAGGTGACTTCCATGAACCTCTGCAACAAGTCCCTTGAACATCTGCTTCCATCCAACCCAGTATTCTTCATTTTTTCAGGACTATCTTCCATGAGAAATACTACTAAACTGATCAAAGCTCAAGTAACTGGATATTGAATCATTCCACCGCCAAATCTTGGAACACCCAGAAATAAAAATATGATCTTTAAGAGCATCTGAGCTCCAAAAAGCTTGAGGATTGAATCTTTCAGAACCAATCAATCCAGACCAGTATCGGATGAATTCCAAGAAACTACGAACTAAATATTTCACTATACTATTAGGAGGACGATTGCCGGAATATTCCGGCAAAGGGAAGCCGGGAAATCAAGAAAAAGTGAGAGAAATTGAGAGGATGGGGAGGAGGGTGGGCACAGCTTAAACAATCCGGAGGGCCTGGAGAAGAGAAAGAAGGATGAGGGAACATTGAAATGACAAAATTGCCCGGATATTTGGTGGGTGAGGAGTAGGGGTGCAAACGAGCCGAGCCGAGCCCGAGCATGGGTATGCTTGAGCTTGAGCTTGATAAGAATTCACGAGTTCGAGCTCGATCTCGAGTTTGGACGAGTTAAATAATTCGAGTTCGATCTCGAGCCGAGCTCGACTCGAGCTCCATTCGAGCTTGATTCGAGCTCAAGTCAAGTTTCACTAATTAATTTTATAGGTTTGAACTCGAATAAGATGCTCGAATTCGAGCTAAAAAATATTATATGTGTACTTATTCATTCTCATTTTTAGTTTATCTCTCATTTACTAAAATTTATATTCTTTATTTTATTGTCAATAAATATTAAGAGTACATATTATAATTATTACAGATTATGGTTATAATAATAATACTACGCACATGTTATTATTTTTGAAATTATTACTATTATAATATACTCTGTGATAAGTATTGAAAATCGAAAAGTCCTACATTAGAATATATATTTCAAAAAAGTATATATATAATTAATACATATATTTTAATTATATATAAAATATGATACAAAAGCTCGCGAACCGGCTCGCGAGCCACGAGCCTAAAATAAATAGGCTTGAATAGAGCTTGTTAACTATTCGAGTCGAGCCGAACTCGAGTCGAGCTTAATATGACCGAACTCGAGTCGAGCTTTTCCCGAGCGATCCACGAGCAGCTCGCGAGCGGCTTGGCTCATTTACACCCCTAGTGAGGAGGCAGAGAACGTACGGAGAATGACAAGTGCCGGAGATTGAAGGGAGTATGAGCGACACGTGGTCGTGGCCCAACCCCCTTGGCAAATGGTTATTATGTCAAATATCTTGGACCGGGGATAACCGGATAATGCATCTCCTATCTCGGTTCATAAAAAAGATATTTTTACTCCGCCGGTTTTGACTCCCCTAACCAAATTAGACTTAAATAGATTAAATTAGACTAAAACATTAAATTCCAGTTCAAGTAAAACATTCTAAATGAGCATTTCCTTTTTCAAAAATGAATTTTAAAAAAGATTATTACTCCGTAATAAATAAAATGTAGAGTGAAGTGTGAACTCAACATGTTATATTCATTCACGAGCAGATGTAGTGTAGTATAAGAGGATGAAGTTTTTTCTTGACCAAATAAGAGGATGAAGTTTGTTGTATACTGGGACGTATGCTTGTTTAAGTGTTTTTGTGAACACCCAAAAATTTTAATTAGTAATGTAAAAATACATGTATATGATTGTTAGTGCAAAAAAAATTATCAGCAATGATTGTTGTACTCACCCTTATACTCATCTTATACCCACCATGTTTGTGAATGTTTTTTTTGTTTGTGAATTCGAGACAAAATACGTGTTATTTTATCTGTGCAAATTTTGTATAAACAAAATATTGTTTGTGAACGAAGTTCACAGACAAAAAAAAACCTTCACAAATAAGGGTTGGTATAAAAGTGGGTATAAGAGTGGGTACAAACATCACTTTTGAAAATTTATATATGTATATGAACATCCGAAATTTATAAAATAAATTTGAACCTTCGGTCACCATCTCAAAATTCATATATGAAATAGTCCCTCCGTTCCATATTTATCTCCTAAAATACAAATTGCACGAGGATTAAGATAGTGAGTATTGTATGGTGCATAAATGTGAGCTCTCCCTAGGGTACTATGTATTTCATCTTTTATAATCAAAACAAAAAAAATGGCTAAAAAAGTCATATCTAGTCCATATGTGAGCTCTTCCTAAGAGTCGGTAATTAGTGAGTCTACTCATTTAAAATAAATTCAACAATTAGCGACTCAGAGGAAGAGCTCAAATATTGATCAGTTGTCAATTATGGATTGATTATATGCGGTAACTGCTTCAGAAAGCATACCACAACCTTTGACAAGGTGGGTCTGAGGGGGCGTTATATACTGTTTTGAGGCAGCGAATGTGTCGGTGTGGTATATTGGGAGAACTAGAAAAGCATTGTCTGGGTAATCCTTATCCTAATACTAGTACATAATTGTGCGATCAACTAATCAGATCTACCGCTTACACAGTATTTCTTTCTCTCAATCTGGAAAGATTCATGGCTCCATTTCTCGCCTCTCTCCCTCCCAGGAAACCAAAACGCCTATCACCTTATAATCACTACACTTACCTTCGCCAACCAAAGTCCCAAGGTGAACTGGTGGGTGATACCATTTCTTACAACACGATGTGTTATGTCCTGTGGCCAATTTTTCACTTATCGCATTTCAAAAGCTCGGAAACCCTCACATTCATCTTATTCATTCATGGGGCCGGAAAGGTATTATATAACACTTTCCTTTTCAAATTGAGAGAAAGGACTGAATTATCATTTATTTTCGTACTAAATGGCAAGTGTTGACATATACTCCCTCCGTTCTTTAATATAAGTCCTCTTAGGCTTTGGCACGGGTTTTAAGAGAAAAATAATAGGGGTAGTGTAAAAGGTGTAATGAGTAGTGGGTAAATGAAAAAGTAGGAAAGAGAAAGGGGTAATGATAATAAAAGTGAGGGTATAAAGGTATATTTAGAGTAAAAACTTTCCTTAAATGGAAAGGAGGACAGATAAAAAAAAACGTCCCAAAAAGGAAAGAAGGACTTTTATTAAAGAACGGAGGGAGTATTTAATCTTGAATATATGTACTGTACTTACATCCTCTTTACGGTCAATCCTAAACAATTGTGTCATTACTTAGTATAAAAAGGTTTATTTTTTATGAAAATGGAGATGGACCAGAGATGTAGTGTTCTAACAATCACAGGATTCCGCCAAGTACTGTGGCACTATTGGCACTCACTCCCAAGGCCACAGGTTCGAATCTCATTCCAGTTCAAGGATGTTCGCCTTCACATAGAACAGATACTATAATAGATTAAAAAGAATTGCACAAAAAAAAAACAATCACAGGATTCCAAAACGTTTTAGCCCTATACATTAAAATATTCAAGGATACTTAATAAGTTTTACAGATGATAAATGGCTTTAAAACGCAAATTCAGATTTTCCAATGAGTAATTCAGATTTTTCAATGAATATTAACATTCTGGGAAACCCAAAACAAACTGTTTTAGTATATTTATCATTCAAAAAGGAAAATGGTAACAAATACAAACAGAAAGATACACCTTGACATTATTAGTAGTTGATCTAAACTTTAGATCCATTACTAATAATGTCAAGGTGTATCTTTCTGTTTGTATTTGTTACTATTTTCCTTTTTGGATGATAAAAATAGTAACAACATAGAATGTGTCCATATATGGCTGTTTTGTTATAAGCATAAAAGTATGTGTGTAAGTATTTCTTTAGGGTAGGTTAGATGATGCCTCTTCTATGGTTTTGCAAAGCCCAAGTGTTTCCTATATCATAAATGAGAAGTAAATGAGTTTTTTTCCGAAATAATGTTAATTAAGTAATTAATTACGAAAATAATGCTGGAAAAAAAGTTATTACCGATCTACTGCTGGCCTTAACCATGGTTAGGGGTAAGTCGCCCAACGGTTTGGCGACTTATAAGTCGCCCAACCGTTGGGCGACTTACCCCTTGTATATGATCGAAGGCCAGCAGCTACTGCCAGCCATACACGATCATGCGTACCCTGGGACGTATGATCGTGCCTAGGTCCGAAAACAGCATTTCAGCATGTTTTTCGCCCCAGTTCAACCCAGACTCATCTGTTTGCTATAAATAAGGTCTCTCTTCTCCTGTTTAAGTGTTACGAGCCAGATAGAACACATTATAAAACATACAACACACGTATTCACAATCACATACATAACACCTACTCTCAACAACAACAAAAAAAACACCTTGTAAATACCCTTTACATATCAAATACAAAACCTTACATTCATAACCGGTATAACACAGTACAATCATCCAATATTCATAACAAGTAATCATCTAATATTCATACTTGAACACATCAACACAACATACAAGAGTTCACAACATCTACTGTACAAGAAAAACTGCAATACAAAAGACAAACTACAAGTTCCCATGGTCATCTTGGTCATCTTGGTCATGGAGATGTTGTTGCTCATGTCTACGTCTACGCCGCTGTCGTGGTTGAAGAACCACTCTCTCATGTTGCGTTTGCGATGATGAAGCCGCTCCTGCACTACACGTCGATGGCATCTCCTGAGATGGGGGCATGTGTATAAGATGGCCGTAGTCGACTCGCCCCAACACATCTGAACACAAGGAGGCAATGCCTATCAGAGCCTGTCCATACATGTCCACATCATGAGTATCACTCACTGTGGCAGTAGCCCGCTGATGTATGCGCTGCAAAGCTCGTGTCTGAAATATGAAACACAATTACAATTACATTGAAATACATACAAGTATTAAATAAATAAGATGACTTACTTTACTAATTAGTAATATACTCACCGTAAGATGTAAAGCCAAGGAGCTAGGCTGATAATGATGAGTAGGGAGTCTGAACGAAGGAGACACAAACAAACGAGTGATGGTGTAATACCATCCCATGTAGTCTCCTGAAACAGATGGGACAAATGTCGGTGTCCCAGTCACAACTAGCTCAGCTCGCCTGTCCCACAGAGTGACGTATCGGACATGTCTCAGTGCCTAATCCTCCGTATGCTTCCCACGCCTATCCAGCCTATGAAGCTCTACATAAGTGTCGATAGGCCGTGGAATGACCTGCTCAAACCCAAACTGTCGCAAGACTCTATCAGGCAAATGAAGCTCAACAATGTCAAAACATATCAATGGCACACGTGCTCGCCATATGTGACTATGCTCTCGTCCAGCTGGGGGCAACTCTGCAAACATCTCGGCTATATACGGCATACATGTAATCTATTTCATAAAGATACAAACTTAGTATTTATGCTATACATATTATAGTTAATGTTATATTACCCACACCATACCTGATCCTCAGACATCCGA